AAATTTTGGAGACTATGTAAAGCTGGCTTCTTGGAGTTCTGTAGAATAATTAGCTCAGTAAAGAACGTTCTCTAGGGCCATCTTCACGGGAGGTTTAGGGGACACAATAATAAGTGTAGCAGCTGGACATTCACTGAGCCCTCGCTAAGGGTCAGGCATTGGCTGCACACTTTACAGGCACTGACTCCTTTCACCCACATGAACCCCAGTGCATCAGAGCTGGGTGCTTTTACTATCATCCACTTTTTTTTATACTCACTTTTATTTTTTTAATAGTTGATTTTTTTATTGTTTTTTTGCCTTACCATTCATCCCCCATACCCTCTTGTACCTTCCCCTACCCCTCTCCCCACCACAATCACCACACAGTCACCCTCTCCATGACTTGTTCAGGGGTTTTTTCGCTCATCCCTTCCCCTCCTAACCCCTCCCACTAGTTTCACCTGTTCTCCATCTATGAGTCTGTCTCCATTTTGCGTGTTAGTTCAGTTTGTTTATTAGATTCCACATACGAGGGAGAGCATATGGTACTTGTCTTTCTCTGACTGGCTTATTTCACTTCGCATAATGTTCTCCAGGCCCATTCATGCTGTCACAAAGGGTGAATTTTTTTCTTTTTTATGGCTGAGTAGTATTCCATCGTGTAAATGTGCCATAGTTGTTTTATCCACTCATCTACTGATGCACACTTGGGCTGCTTCCAAATCTTGGCTATTGTAAATAACGCTGCAACTATCATTCACTTTTTACAGAGTGAAAAATCGAAGCCCAGGTTAAATAATTCACTCAAGGTCATAAAAGTGACTGGTAGGATTCAAACCTACACATCTGGCTCCAGAGCTCTGCCCATAAGCACTCTGCTGAACTACCTCTCAAAAGATGGCTCTGTCATTACCACTGCATTAAGAGCACCTGAGCAGTCTTCTACAGGAAGATGCGAGGGAGAGACCCAAACCGAAAATGTCTTCAGTGGCAGGCGTGGAGCAAGGGGGTGGGGAGATGAGGAAATGAGCTCGGTACATAGACTGATAAAAGCATGGCGCAAACTCCTGAGTGCGAAGGGGCCCAGCCAGCTGTCACCGGCACGCTCCGTCTACCCTCTCTGCCGTGCACTGAGCTCCCCACCATCTGCCCTACATGCAAGTGCAGCTCCATCCAGCCTCTGGTTCTAACATGAATCCCCACAGTTCTAGTTTACACCATTATGTTTATAAATCTTGCTGTAGGACTTACAAAGCTACTAGAAAGTTTCAGAACATCTCTGCACAAAACCTTGATACATTAATTACCTGGAGCTACTCTGGGCCAGTGTTTCTCAAAGCATGGTCTGGTCCAAAACTGGAAGACAGCACGTTAAAAAGGCCGACTCCTAGCACTCATCCGAAAACCGCAGAAGGAAAAGCTCTGAAGGTGGGCGGAAGGATCTATCTTTTTCACACCTTCCCTTTAGTGATTCTTACGCACACCGAAGCCTCAATAGTGTTATTCTCTCATTCTTGGAAAACCAAGCTATAGAAACAGTGTTAAACGGGGTTCTGCTTCAGGCACAAGTGAAATCTTCCCATCTCTCCGTAATAAGCTTTCTCTAAAGAACCCCCTTTGTCATCACAACTGATACATCTCTCATTACCTGGAAAAGAATGATCTCAGCTTCGCTTATAAACATTTTAAAATGTGCCTCAGTTTTCTAAACTCTCTCCTACTCCACTGTTTCCAAAATGTATCCCTTGTATCACTAATGATTTCAAGAGGCACCTGAGATGAACTCCTTTTCTTTTTATTTTAGAAGCCATGTGTTTATTACAATGGGAATGCAGAAAACTTACAATTACAGTATCCAAACCTGTGATTTCATGAAAATACTAGGGCTCAAGGGGAAAGTAAAAGAATCAATATTGAAAACTATTAAGTAATAGCATAGGCAGTACCCGGATAATAAGTCCTGAATTTGGGAAACACGATCCTGGCTGGCTGCCCCTTCCCAACAGCACCTCAGCTTCCGCCATGCTTCTCCTTGCTCCACCCCAGACCACAGGCATCCTCTGCCCTTATTCCAGCTGTGCCCATGCCTCCCGTACAGGGCCTCCTCTTGTAAATACCTCTTTAAATGTTACCCTCGTTTCACACCAGTGCCTGTCTCCTTCCAGGAACCCTCCAGATCCTTCCAGCTCTCCCAACCTACTCCCTTTCTGAATTCCTTCAAATATTCATGTAGAACCTAATTGCTACTTAAGTGTCCACCCATATCCAGTTATCATTGTTTCCCTAGTGAAATGGAAGACCCACGAGAGTCACCCACAGTCCCTTTGACCCCTGGATGAGAGTGCTAAGCTTCCCTGCTTGAATGTGAGCACCTCACAGGAACTCGGTGAATGCGTGTGCGTTCCTCATGAATGAAACGTTGCACAGCAGTGAGAGAAGTGGCTGTCTCAAGCCCTCCGCCGCGCCTCACTGCGGGCCAGGGCTCTTAGCCACACCTGAGAAAGGGCGTTCTCTCTCCCTCACTGCCGGGTAAAGGGCACAAAGGCCTGAGCCCGGGAATTCTACCCAAAGGTGTGATTCTGTAGTTATCCCCGGGGCAGGAATGGGGAAGGTGACCTTCCTCAGCCCACATGCAGCGCGTCTCTGTTTCCAAGGGCCAGTCACCTCTGCTGATGCGTGCCCGCCCAGGGCTGCAGGGACCAGAGTGGCCACAGCCTCCTCTAGTGCAAACAACAGCAGGTGAGCAAAGAGAACCAGCCCCACCTCTTCATTCGTTCTCCCATGACTTTAGCCTTTCTGTACCTCAGGGTTTTTAATCTGTCAAATATGTGCCGTACTTAATTCACACTTGCTATAAGGCAAAAAAGAGATAATGACTTTGAAGCAGTTTAAGTTATCATGTACAATAAAAACGTCCAGGGACACAGCCTATGTATCTACAGGGAGAACAGACTGGGAGGCCAGGGGCTCAGTTCTCCACCAGGCAAGCAGTAGGCAGGAGGAGGTCTGGGCCTTACCTCCAACTGCCTGTGCCTGTCACGTGACCTTGGGTCCCCAGTTAGCTTCTCTGGGACGCAATGTTCTTGTCTGTACAACTTGCCTGTGCACTAGATGATCTGGTCTAGGGCCAAATCCAATGTGAATTTAAGAACCTTAGAGAATGATAACCAAACAAGACTAGTAGTCACTGCATGCTTCACTGGAAGTGCTCAAAAGTGGGAATGGTGCCCTGATGTGCCCAGGGTTTGGGGGAGCCCCAGCCAAGCATCACCAGAGGCACTCAGGCACCTCTCCCTCCAACCCAGATCTGTTGTGTGCATAGAAGCAGACCTGCTGTTCACTCTCCTGCTCTCTGCCTCCTGCCCAACTCCCTCCTCTGCATACACAGCAGAAGGCCCACCTCCTCACAACCACAGTCATGGATTTTTGTTATTTTCTCCTTCCTAGTCTAAAACAACAACTTCAAAACCATAGTTTTTTAGGGTTAAGGTCTGGCTCTGAAAATAGCTATTCCTTCAGCTCCCCTCAGACACGAATAAAGGACTAACATATGTGGGAAGGACATGGGACAGGAACTCATGCGGCAGGAGGGAGGCAGAGGTAAGGGGCATCTGTGGAATGGAATGGCAGTGTGTTCTTTGGGATTCCATAAAGGTTTGCCTGCTTCCCAAACTGTCAGTCACTCACACATCATCCGGGGTTGTGCTTGGTGTGGCGCGTCGGGGCTCCCCTGCAAGCCCTGTAACCACGGTGTCGGGCCGGCTACATGACGGCTGGGAGCATAAAGAGAACAGGCACTTTCTGATTCTCCCCCTAGAACTCTACCGCCTTGAAAAAATATATAAGGTGATCTGCCGAGGTGATTCATATGTCATCTCTGCCGCTGGGACTATCATGAAGTTATCTGTTCTCAATCATTAGAAGATGATTTCTCTTCATCTCTCCATGAGAAGTAGATACCTCTCTTTTTGTGTGGATCAAAGAACCCCGAAAACATACACACCCAGAACCACACCTGCTGTAGGTGGAAACAGGTAACAAGTCTAAAAATACAGAAATTCATTTCTTCATTTAACTCCATCCCTCCAAGAACAGCTAAAACAAGGCTGCTTCTCCCTGCCTCTCTGGGTGCCAAGGTTGAATGCATTTGGCTTACAGTAGTACATAGACAAGGCCTATTTCCTAATATTTTCACAATGTAACCAACCAATCGACTCAATCTCAGGCTTAGAAATGGCATCTCATTACACAGTATCTTGAAAATCAAAACAGGGAAACACTCTAAGTAGGTTTCAAAGCACTGATTTCCAATTACTCACAAGCAGAACCATTTTTGAAATCCAACACATTCTGTATGGATGGGCAGTGCATTGGGCGAAGCAAGCTCGGCTGATGTTTCTTGGACCCTGGAGGGGACATCCTAGAGAACACATTTTTCTCCCCATATGCCAGAAGATGAGCTAACCACCATGCAACAGAACAGAAACAAGCTATCTTCCTTTCAGAAGGGAAAATAAAGCAGTTCCTCACTTGGCTACGGAGGACAAAGCCGGGACGTGCAAGAAGCCTTCAGTCTCGGGCTCCACGTGCTGCTCCAAGGACAGAGGAACCCACCCACACACAAGCACACACAGCCAGCCCACCACGCGCCTGTGGAAGGCGCCGGGTGCTCAGCCTTCACGCGCTGGAGGCTCAGGGCTCTCCCAGCTTGCAAGCTCCCTGTAGCACCGGCTCTGCTGAAGAGGGCAGAGAGCCAGACCCTCTTTCCAAGTCTCGTCTTCCTTCCCCCCAGAGCTACCGCTCCCCAACTACGAAGTAGACTGTGCTTCTCCAAGGTAACTGAGACTTAGGTATGCACACACACACACACACACACACACACACACACACACTCCGGATGACAGTTAAGTCCCCGCACTCCACTGCCACTGCCAAGGCCGTGAGTCCCCCACCACCACCACTATCAAACCCTGGACCGCGCAGCTGGGCGCTCCTGGACTGGGAAGCGCCCGACTCACCCAGTCCTCGAAGTGGCGGCTCCCGTTCTGCAGTAGCTCCTCAAACTGGATGGTGCAGTTGGCCACGAAGTCGTCGTAGCCGATGGGGGCATCGTGGAAGACGGCCAGCTCGATCTTGCGCCCGTTGCACACATCGGTGACGAACTCGTCGTGCCAGGCCGGGCTGTTGGTCTTCTGCTTCGTTGCCGTTTGGCCAATGCGCGAATCATCCACGTTGAGGGCAATGTAGGGGTCCAGAAGGAAAGTCTGTGGCCGGAGTCCCACTGCATGGCGCAGCGACCAGGCTGTGGGCTTCAAGCTCACGGCCTCGCAGATTTTGATCTTAAGAAGGCCATTGAACACTACCATGGTCGGGACAGAGAGTGGGGGCCGGGGTCACTCCGTCCGCCCCTAGGGCAGGATGAAGAACCGACGCCCGGGTGCTCCGAGCCACGGGGACTCCTGAGTCCCCTCTCGCCCCACCCCGCACTCTGCCTACACCTTGTAGCGTTGCGCCCTGGCGCGGGCGATTCTCAGTGAGTGCATGTATTTCCTCGCCGGGTTCCTAACGGAAAACAGGGAGGGGGGGAGAGCTGGGGGACGTTCGTGTTTGGAGCAAGTCTCTCCCCCCCTACCACCAGCAGCACCTCCAGAAGAAGAGAGGAGCTGTCGGCTCCGCTGCCAGCCACGGGGACTGTCTCGCCGCCTCGCTGGCTCTCCGGGTCCCGGCTGCGTGAAGCGGGCGCCGCGTCCGGCGCTTACCTACCTTTCCGAAACATAATCCCCGGGAAATTTTGACTCCGGGAGGGCGAGGGGGCGGTGGGGCGGGGACGAGAACCCGGGGCGCAGATTTCAACCCGGATCCTCTTCACACACCCAGCGCCCGCCTCTGACCGCGCGGGGCGGGGGATGGACCGAGGGATGTTCAGTCTATCCGGAGGGATGCATGTCGAGAGGAAATGGTCCGCCTCGGAGCCAATTTTTTAAAAATCCACAAGCCTCACAGCTAGCCTGGCCGCCGCCTCTTGGGCGAAACAGCGCCGCGCCACAGTCGGCAATGGAGAGGCTCCAGGAGCCCGGAATCTCACATCCGCGCGGGCTCAGTGGCCGCTGCTAGGGCTCGGGGCACAGGCCGGCACCGGGCGGTGCGCAGCGCGGCGGCGGGGCCAGGACTGTGACTCGGCGCGGCCCCACCTCCTGGGCGCCAGCGCCCGCCCGCCCGCCGCGCTCCCCGCGTCCCTGCTCTCAGCTTCAGCTCGCTCGCCGCCCGCCCGCTCTCCCCCTCGGTCCCTTCTCGCTCCGTCGGTGTGCGAGCAAGGCTCCCTCCCTCTAATGCAGGAAATGCGCAAAAGACGTCAGAGAGAGAGAGTGGGGGGGGGGGGGGCGGGGGGAGAGTGTGTGTGTGTGTGTGTGTGTGTGTGTGTGTGTGTGCGCACGGGCACGCGCGCGCGCGCTCCAGTGTTTAGGGAAATAGAAAGTTTTGCCGGTTGGGGGAGCAATACGGGAAAAGTGAGCTGAGGAGAGAACGAGGAAAAGCAGGCGAGCCTGCTGGGGTCGTGGCGGCAGGCGGGGAAGCCAGGCAGGGACCCCGGCGTGGGACCCCGTGTGGGACCCCGTGTGGGACCCCGTAGAGTGGCGGCGTTAGGGCCCGGGGTGCGGGTGCTGCGTGCTGTGGATACCCGCTCTTTACTCTCCACCAGTGACGAGCAGGCCGCGCATCTGCTCACGGCTCTGCGGCCAGCACTGTTTTAGAACCGCGGGTGGGAGAGGGGCGAGGGTCTCATTACCGGAAAAAAAAGAATCGAAACGCTCCCCCACCCCCTCCCTCACTTGGGTCGCGGCGGTAGAGGGCAGCCCGCGGAGTACTGGCCGGTCTGTCATTCTGTCTCGAGACCCTGGGCTCGGCTGGGGATGGGGTTGGGGGTGGGGGGCTCAGGGGAGGGGCGTGCAAGGCTCTGTGTGACTTTTTATATATGTATTCTCTCTTCCCTTTCTTTGGGGCATTCTTCCCCCTTGGGATCCGTCCTGGCGTTCTCAGGCTGCGAGAACTTGTTGACAAGTGAAAGCTTAGTAGAACCCCGGCTCGGTTTGTGTGTTTATTTTCTGCAAAATGACTTCATATTTGCTCTGGACCTTGTCTGCCCTTTTGGGGGAGATGGCTGTGATCAGCGCGCCGACAGCGGCCGTCCGAGCTGCAGGAAAACGGGGCGCACCCTGTGGGGGGCCAGAGACTAAGTCCGTGCTAATTTCCTCCATAACCTTTAAACTCTTGCTGGAAGCGGCCTAGGCTGCTGGTCACGTGAGGCGAGCCCTGGGCTGCTGGGGAAGAATTTCCTCCGCCGGGAGTCGCGGCGGAGAAGGCGGCCCCGCGAGGGACTGCCCCGCGCTGTGGGACGCGGACCTGGGAGGGCGGGGCCGCGACCGCGGAGGCCCGGGGCGCGGCCCTGGCTTCACTGCTCCGAAGGACTGGGCTGGGAACAGGTCATCTCTGCAACCTGCCAGCGGGGAAGCGAGGAAGCGAGGAAGGGGGCTCCAAATGGAAAAGGAAAACCTCGGTCCTCACCACTGTGCCAAGTCAAGTCAGGGAGTTTGTAGAGATCATTGTAAGCTGGCTGTTTATCTGGCGGGACTGGTTAAAACCCAGCTCTCGATCTCTTTTTCTCAGGAGAAAAGAGTTATCTTTACCAGTGGGTTAAAAAAGTTAAAGGCGAGGAAGACCCAAGTCCCCTTGGACAATAGGATACCAAGCGGAGCACACCGTTCGCAAATATAATCAGAAAAGTCCCAAGGTGATTGTGGCAGATCCTCTGTCTCCTAAGGCCGGCAGTCGCTGCCCTCCAGGATCTTCTAAGTCATTTCTAGAAGCCTACCTGGTGAATGGGGCAGCGGAGCAGAGAGCGCGCTAAAACATAGGCTTAGAGAGAAAGGAGACAGTTCACATATAAAAAAATTATGCCTTACTTGGCCCCTTCCACCAGCTGGAGATTATAGTCGAAAATCTGTCATTTTGACAAAGCACAAGTGGGATATGTCGCTGCTGTTTAATTTTTATCTCTTGAATATCAGAACTTTCCCTCCTTGCTTTTTACTTACACCATTCTATTTTTCTTAAAATTTTCCCCCCTTCAGGGGGCATGTGATTTAAGACAACTGGCAAAAAAAAAGGGCTCGATCTTAAGAAAATGTGTTCAGGAAGCAGAGACAGTGCTAGAATGCGGTGAGTGAGATACTTGACAAAGGCAAGATGTAAGAGGTACCAATAAACTCAGCCGTCAAGAAAAAAATATTTTAATGCAATATTTTTAAAAATCAAAATTTATGTAAAAATTCAGCCTGAACAAAGAGTACATCATTTTAAATACAGCATTAAAATATTACTTATATTACTGAGATTATTGGCACCCCTGAAAATGTGTACCCAAGATGAGTGCTTCATTTGCCTCCCTCTAGCGCTGGCCCTGCTGGGAAGTCTAGAAAGGCAGGTATTTCATGAAGTTAAAGACCCTCCAGTAAATAGTGCTTTATATCTATTCTTTCTCTGGTGAGTTCTATCTTGCCATACAAACAGAGGGACTGAAAAACATTGGCCAAAATCCTTCCACTCCAGTATGTTAAACAAGAAATAAGTTTAGAATTATAGACACACTGAACTTGAACTTTTTGCATAATATCATATCCCATGCCCCCCAAGCAAGACCCCCAAATATATTGAATAAGGTCTGTTGCCATCTCAGTAAGTAGACATTCTTAAAAGCATTGGTTTTATTCTTCCATGTGACCTAAGTAAGGTTGCAGGAAGGCAGCAGCTGCCTCTTAGCAGACTGTTTGTTACACATGTGAATAATCACACTGCAATTTTCAGGTGCAATCAATACCGGTATGTGACCTCTCCTTCCAATTATTCTTTCTGTTGCAGGGGGTGTGGGGGTGGTGTAACTAAAAGACTTGGCCAAACTGCCTGTTTGTATTGGATGAATATTTATATAAAAAGAGGGAATGCTGATAGTCTACATGCAGGCATTGCTAATTTCCTGCCCTTATTACATCCTTATTTCTAAATAAATCTCTCACTTCCCTACTCTCACACTTGGCTGAATGAAACTAATGTATTCTCCAGGGGCACCATGGAGATGCCTAGTGAGAGCCTTTTTAGGGGAAAACCCTTAAATTCACCTGGGTAGGAAGGTCTAAAATAACTCTCTGCTCCAGATTTCATGTGAAAAGAAAAAGAAGCACTTGCAGGGAGGAAGATTTCAAATGTAAAATTCCAATCAATAATTATTGTTTACTTCATCCTTCTCTTGACCCCTGTATACTTGAGGGGAGACCCAAAAAACCCATATTTATTTTTAAAAAATGTGTATTCTTACATGTGTAAACCTCAGTCACCTTCAAAGCACTCTCCATTTGATGCAATACACCTATCGAGACTTTTTTTCCACTGCTCAAAACAGTTTTGAACTTGTCAACTTTGATGTCTCTTAGTGCTTCTGCTGTTATTTTGTGTCACCTCATCCACATCGGCAAAACGTTTCCTTTTGAGGGCTTTTTTCACCTGGGGAAACAAACAAACAAACAAACAAAAGTCACTCAGGCTGAGATTAGGCAAATAGGGAGGGTGGGGCATGGGGGTCATGCTGTTTTGGGTCAAAAACTGCTGAACACTCAGCTTGGTGTGGGCAGGTGCACTGGTAAATCACCCATCATGAAATGGGCAAACCCGTTGAAAAAGTCTTCAAAAAAAAATTCCCTGAAGCCAAATGCAGCCTCTCACAACAATGCCAAGTGGTACTCTGATATAGACGGGTTCCTAGAACACTCACCTAGCTGGGGAAGCCTGCTACAAGGGGCCCACCCTCTAGATGGTAATTCCAGCTTTTTAGGGGGTACCCACTCCAGTCTTAAAAGACAAGACAATCATTGATGTAGACATTGAGTAAAACACCCTTTGTGTTCCAGCTATGGCTTAGTCATCTGGTGATCTTTGGGAGAGGGAAGAGTATAGGAAGAAAAATGATATAAGAATCCGAAAAAGATGATCAAGATGGTGCTCCTCTCCTTGTAAAGTTAAGGCTCGTAGGAAAAAGGACTGAAAGGGCAAGAGTCCCATGACCTGACTGGTGTGGCTCATTGGTTGGGTGTTATCCTGCAAAGTGAAAAGTGGCTGGTTCAATTCCGGGTCAGGGCACATGCCTCGGTTTCAGGTTCGGTCCCCATTCAGGGTGCATACAAGAGGCAACTGATCCATGTTTCTCTCCCTCCCTCCCTCTCTCTCTAAAAATAAATAATAAATTTGTTTAAAAAGAGAGAGTTCCAGAGCATGTGATAAGTGCTGCCCTAGATGTAGAGGTGCACCAGCCTCTCAAAGAACACAGAGGATCAGCCCTTTGCCTGCGGTTGCCTGGGAAGGCCCCTCCCAGAAGGTTGAGGCTTTCCAAAAGGAGTTCCTCCAGAGGCAAAGAGGGAAGGGAGAGGCATTGGAGGCAAAAATGGAAACGGAGTGACCAGGTGTACCTGGCATGCAGCAGGCAGTAAGAGGAGGTGAGGTAGGTTGAATCAGATAATTAAAGACTTGTAGAGCCTGCAGATGTGTTTGAACTTTTTTCTTAAGAGACACTGATCACGCTGAAGTGGGGAAGAGCATTACCAGAGTTAATATTTTTTTAAAAAAAGCAATTTTGCTGGGATGTCTATATTTCTCTTCTGTAATTTTCCCCCAGAAGACTCACCCCAAACCAGGGTGTTAGAAGAATCAAGTCCAAAGATGATTTATATTCCATCTCGTCAAAAATTAAACATCCCTGGTTGGTGTGGCTCAGTGAGTTGGGCATGTCCCACAGACCAAAAGGCCGCCAGTTTGATTCCTGGTCAGGGTACGTGCCTGGGCTGGGGGCCAGGTGCCCAGTTGGTAGCATGCAAGAGACAACCGATCAATGTTTCTCTCACACCTTGATGTTTCGCTCCCCCTCTCTCTTCCCCTCTCCCAAAAAATAAATAAATAAAATCTTTTAAAAACTGATACAGCCTGTGGATATTGTTTATTTAAATCAGCTAAAGGAAGCAGGGAGGGGGCGCCAGACCTTAGACTGGCATGTTAACATTCAGGTCCTT